AGAAGACAAATGTGTCTTTGTGTGTCCTCAGCCCGAGACATCAAGATCGTGAAGCCACTGGAAGATGTGGAAGTGAAGGAGAAAGAGAGTGCTTCATTCCTCTGTGAGATTTCGCATGATGATGTCGAAACCCAGTGGTTCAGCAACGAACACAAAATCCGGGCTGGAGATAACATCAAGTTGCGTCAAGATGGTAGGGAAAGGAGAATGGATGGGCAACTTTTGGGGTGGTTGTTTATTGTGAATGAAATGTTGGAGAAGGCAATGAATTGATCTGTTTAAACCTGGAGAGCAGTCAGAGAAAGACCACACAGCTACAGACCATGTACAAATTATTTATAGGCTAGTTTTGACTGTTCCAGCCTTTCCCAAGGAATCTTGGGAATTGTAGTTTGACAGCAGTGTTGAATATTCATATTGAGATCCTTAGTCCCTTCAGAGGAATACAGTTAATTCCTAAGATGCTCTGGAGCCGAGGGCATGAGTATCCTACTTGAATTTTGTTCTTTCTTTTACCTTAATTTCTCAGTTCTAACCAGAAAGTCCAGTTGAATGAAACTTTCATAACAGGCATTTCAAGACTGCTGTCTTTCCAGATCTAGTATGTGTTTCCCACACATATTTTAAGGGAAAGTGTTATGGATCGGAGCCATGCCAAAACAGATGTCAGTGTCATCACAATGGGCCTATGCGCATGAAGCAAGCCATTAGCCCTGGGATGGAATGAGCCTGTCTGGATCTCGATCCAATGGTCCCAGACTAATCCTGGTCCAAAGGGGCCTTACCCAGGGGCATATTGACCCACTTTCTGCTGCAGAGTTTCCTTGAAACTCCATGGTGACAGCTGGCACACTACATGGCCCCATACACTCCATACCTGCTCAGAAGACCCTCATCACAGCCTGTGATGTCAGATGGGGCCCCCTGGCTACAGAGGTGTAGCTAGGCACCCTGTTTCTGCCCTTATGGGTCACAATGGGGGTCTTCTGAGCAGACATGACAGCCTGACAGGTATGGGGTGGGTAGCAGTAACAGCTCCATGGTGCAGTGGCAGGCAGGCATGTTATCACCTGCCCATCACTGTTCAGTCGGGGATTGACCCAAGTCAGAACCTAGAGCAGGTTAGCATGGGCTTGGCTTGTGCTATCCTGCCCTTCTATGTAGGATCAACAAGATAAGCCCTTGAGTGCAATAAATTAATAGATGTATTAAAGTTTTCTTTAAAAAGAGCAAGAGTGGTGTAGTAGTTTGAATGTTGGACCATGAATGTTGGAAATTACATGGTTGGATAGTTTCTCTTAGTGTGAGTGGAAATATTTTTTTTCCTGAAGGTTTGTGGATGTGTGTATTTGCCTTTACAGGAAAGAGCTACCAGCTAGTTTATAAAAGTGTGGAAGTGGAGGATTCTGCAGAGATCAAATTTGTTGCTGAAACAGCAGAATCTCGAGCACAACTTAAAGTGAAAGGTAATGACATCGGCACTATAAGTTGGTTACTATTTCTTAAAGTGTATCCCAGATTGAACAGTTCTGCAAGACCCAGAATGAGAAACAGCTGCTTGATCACTGTTGACAAACCTTGAAGGTTTATGACTAGTATTAAAATTGACTTTTCCCATATTGCTTTTCATTCTGATCCCACACCCCACAGTGCTCTGAGATGGAACTGGCTGCAATTCTAGGCCTCCTCAAAACTTGGTTTGGAACCACAACCTGACAAATAATTGCTATAGGAAAAATGTTTTGGTGGCAAATTGATGCAGCAGGTGCTTTGTCTGAATAACGTGATTGTGGCAAGAATGGGGCTCATGAGATAATGTCCTATCTCTTTGATCATTGCTGTAATGACTAAGGACATTATCACATGAGCCCCATTCTCAGCGATATCATGCTAATTACAAAAGTGCAACCATAGCAGTTTGAGAGCAGCCATAATTGCACATCTTCGCAATTGTGCAACTGAGGCTGCTGCTGCCATTGCATTCTCTTAAGCCTGCCTCCCTGCCCTATGCCCTACCCAGTCTGCCTTTCAGTTTTTTTAAATTTTATTTTATTTTTTTTACTTTTTAAATTATAAAGCTCTGTGATTTAAGCTTTAAACAATACAATGAAACAAATACAATTTAAAAAAAGGAAACCAGGCTACTTGGGAATAGTGGGGGAGAGAAGGAGACTGACAGCATGTAACTGCCAATCTTGCAACTGCCTCAGCAGCAACGTTTTGCATATGAGTAGTACTGGGGTTGCTGTGTGATTGGGAGCTATTGATGGGTTTCCCCTGTCAATGAAAAGGGACGCCCTAACCACACTTGGCAGACACAGCCGCTATGGCCTAAGTATAAGGATAAATAGCACTAAAGGTGCTATTTAATAGATGTTTAAAAGCCATGTGTGATAATGTCCTAAGAAACAAAGCTGTGAGCCTGAAAATCTATATGTCCATTAATCCACCAGGTGACCTTAGAAGACTATGCTCTCTCAGCTTTGGATCTCCCTTTCTCTCTCTCTCTCTCTCTCTCTCTCTCTGGAGTGCAAGTGGCCTACTGTCAGGTGTGATTGTAAATGTTACTGTGATAATATCTGTGAAACTCTTTGAACTTCTTAAAATGCTTTATAAATGTGAAGTATTATTATTTCTTTG